TTGTATATTGTTTGTGGGTTAGTCTTGGGCCAACCATTAATATTTTACTAAAAAATAGAGAGTGGTGTTTGGACTTATAATGAGTTATATACTTATTTTTGTGGGCTAGTGAATTGGTTTATTGATGAGTTATTTACTTATTTTTGTGAGCTAGTGAATTGGTTTATTGGGTGGGCTAGGGATACAATGCAAATAATTCAAGCCTAATAATTGTTAAATAAACGTTAACAGGTTTGGGCTGAAGCCCAGCCCATGCCAATAGTAAATTTGTCCCTGGCTACGTCCCTTGACATCACTCGGCATGCAAACACTCAGTCGCTAGAAGACATCCCGCGGGTAGCCAAGCAGAAAGCCTGCCCGCAGCCGCAGTCAGCCAGCGCACCACGCCTGCCAGTGCCAGCGGATCCCTCGCATAACTTGAGATTTGGGCGAGTTTCCCAGTACACCACGCAATATTCCCAAGAAACCATATTAAAACTCGCGAAAAACGCAGCGTCTTCGAGGGAATATTCACCAATCGTCCTGCTCTCACTACACGTCGCCCATCGTCCGTGCGCACACCTTGCAGCGTGCCCCGCAGCCCGTGTGCATCTCCCTCGCATATCTCGAGACCCAGGCATTTTTTCTCGTACACCATGTAATTTTCCTCGGCAAACCATATGTAAAACTTGTAATGGCTGTTGTGGTATCGTCCCAAGATCATAAACATAATTGAGAGAAAAATAAGTTTCTATTACTCACAAGAATAAAAACAAGAGATTTACAAACTCTAAACAAAAACTCTCAAACTCTCCCACAACTCTTCTTGGTTGTGTTTCAACACTCTCAAGGTTGATTGATCACACTCTTGGATGATTCAAATGAATTAAATGAGCACTCTATTTATAGGCACAAAAATTAGCACACCATTGTGTGTGAATGAGGAAGGTGGTGGATGGTAGGTGAAGGGCTAGTCTTCTTCTTCATTGGTGTGCTTGAATGTTTGGTGGATGGACTTGGTGCATGGAACTTTCAATTCTCCCCTTTCCATGCAAGTTCTGAACAAACATTCCTACTATGTCTCTGCATAGTTTAAGCTTGTCCAGTGTAACCACTTTTGTCAACATATCTGATGGATTCTCCTTCGTATTGACCTTCACTAGTTTCAACAGCTGTTGATCAATCTTCTCGCGTATCCAGTGATACCGAACATCAATATGCTTTGTGCGGGCATGGTACATAGAGTTCTTGCTTAAGTCAATAGCACTTTGACTATCACAATATACCTTGTACTCTTTTTGCTTGATCCCAAGTTCATGAAGATAGCGCTTTAACCACAACATTTCTTTACCAGCTTCAGCGGCAGCAATATATTCAGCTTCTGTTGTGGATAAAGCAACACACTTCTGCAATCTTGATTGCCAAGAAATGGCTCCCCCTGCAAAAGTGTAGACATAACCCGAAGTAGACTTTCGACAATCAATATCTCCGGCCATATCAGCATCAGTATATCCTTCCAAGATTGGATCAGCTCCCCCGTAACAAAGACATAACTTAGAAGTACCCTTCAAGTATCTGAAAATCCATTTGACTGCCTCCCAATGCTCCTTCCCGGGGTTAGAAAGAAAACGACTCACTACACCCACTGCATGAGCAATATCTGGCCTGGTACATACCATTGCATACATCAAACTTCCAACTGCTGAAGAGTATGGCACTGCAGACATCTCCCCCACCTCTTCCTCGGATGTGGGACATGATCTTTTGCTTAACTTGAAATGATTCGCAAGTGGAATACCCACTGGTTTGGCATCACTCATATTGAATCTTTCAAGTACTCGTTCAATGTACTTCTCTTGAGATAGCCATAACTTGCCGTTCTCTCGGTCTCGAGTAATCTGCATCCCAAGAATCTGTTGAGCCTTTCCTAAATCTTTCATATCAAAAGACTTAGAAAGTTCTTTCTTCAGCTGACTTATCTTCTCTGCATCATTCCCAACGATCAACATGTCGTCGACGTACAGTAGAAGAACTATGAAAGCCCCGTTTGAGTATCTCTTGATGTAAACACACTCATCTGCAACAGTCTTCTTGTAACCTTGACTCAGCATGCATGAGTCAAACTTCTTATTCCACTGCCTTGGTGCTTGCTTCAGACCATACAAGCTTTTAGATAGCTTGCACACGAGGTTCTCACTTGAAACCTCAAAACCTTCTGGTTGTTGCATATAGATTTCTTCTTTCAAATCTCCGTGAAGAAAAGCTGTCTTCACATCCATCTGTTCAAGCTCCAGGTTCATACTTGCTGCCAAGCCAAGTATGACTCGAATTGAGGTCATCTTGACAACTGGTGCAAAGATCTCGTCAAAATCAATCCCTTTCTTCTGCTGAAAGCCTTTGACAACCAATCGAGCTTTGTGTTTCACCACTTGTCCATTTGAATCTTTCTTCAGCTTGAACACCCATTTGTTTTTCAAAGCCTTTTTCCCTTCTGGAAGTTTAACAATCTCATAAGTTTGATTTTTCTGCAGAGAATCTAATTCTTCCTGCATCGCAATCATCCATTTTTCTTTATCCTTATGAGATATGGCTTCTTGAAAACTCTCTGGTTCTCCATCTTCTGTCAATAGAAGGTATTCAGATGATGAGTACCTTTTTGATGGTATATGACCTCGTTCAGATCTACGAGTGGGTAGAACCATCTGAGAAGAACTTCCAACGTTGGTGTCTGGCAAAATGGGTTGTGGCTCCCCTTGCTCTGGCAAGATGGATTGTTGCTCCCCTTGCTCTGTCAAGATGGGTTGTTGCTCCCCTTGCTCTGCACTCTCTTCTGTCTCCTCGTCTCCTTCTGGTACATCATCTTCATTGTTTCTCCAGAACAATTCTGGTGCTTCATCTGAAACTTGAGCACCGACATTTGACTTCTGAGACATCTTGGGCTTTTCTATGTCTTCTATTGTCAAATTCTCT